GTAGTTTCATGTTATTTACTATTTATTTACTTCATCAACATGACAAGTGTTTTTGTTTCCAGAACATGCCTGTACAGAGTTTCGCTGTAACTTAAGAGAATTCTGTATATCGACGGATTTGGTTTGCGACAAGATTAACCATTGTGCTGACGGGTCAGATGAATCGTCCAATAACTTATGCCAAAGTAAGTATATGTAACTTAATGGCAGGATGTAGCATATTCCGATTCTTGTTCTAGTAAGCTTATTCTAGATAATTATTATTAAGCTACAATGCAATTGAATTAAACTTGTGATATATTTGCTAATGGAAATGTATCTCGCATATCTTGCTATTTTCGATTTATTGCAGCAATGGTTGATGTAAATCGACTTAATATCATATTTTTTTATAATACCAACACTGTCAAGGAGCAAGGTTGACTTGCATTCCAATATATTTATTTGTGCAATTACACACATGGACACGGTGAAATATATTTTTTTAATCTGCAACATTTGGTAGCGGAAATATTTCTATTATTGTCTCCACTGGCCCTGAATAGTTATAAAAATACAAAGCTCAGTTTTCATGGTCTGATTCATCTTTCTTCAAATATTTCTTATAAGGTGATTAAAATATATTCTAAGTTATTTAAGATCCAACATTCTCATCGACTACACTTATAAAGCACCTCTAACGGTATCTATAATACCAGAAGAACAGAAGAGGTATATTTGACTGTCCATATTCAAATAAGAAGGGATGTGAAATTGACTGGGAAAACTTATCAGCAGAATATGTTCGAAAAGTACTGGAAAATACGAGAGAGGGTTCCTGAGATCAATGGAGCTCTCATAAATAATGTACGATTTGCTGACGACGAGGTGGTGCTGATAACATGATAAATCTGATCGTTGAGCACAGCGAACAATATGGTTTTCAGACAAATGTAGCAAAGTCTAAAATTGTTGTATTCCCAAAAACACCGAGGCGCGTAGTCCTTAGAATTAAGAACGAACCCGTGGACCAGGAATTATCCTTCAAATATCTGCGAGCTCTCGTCAACGAGTCCAAGGATCTTTAAAAAATGGTGTCTAGTCTAAGACTAAATCGAACGGGCCAGGAAAATCTTTACATCCATGAAACTTTCCTCAGAAATCGAGACTTAAGCCTGCAAATCCGTATTTTGCATACTGCGCTGCTAGATATTTCCTGTCCTCTATAGTTCTGAGAACTGGACTTTCCACCAATCAATGCTTTTGAGATGTACCTGTACCGTCGAATGCTGCGTGTGTCCTGGGTAGATCTGGTAACTAATGAGGAGATACTCCCGGGTAAACTTTTCGAGAAGAGTGGAGAGTAGAATGGAGCGAGTTATCAGCAAAAATATGAAAAAAATCTTTGGTACAGATCGGAGCATCCTGAAAGATAACGATATATTTAAGAAAACAAAATGCCGTAGAGGAATCCGTGAAGAAATGAAAGAATAACGTTTGTGTAGCAACAGAGAAGAGCAAAGCTTGGAGGAAGGCATTGAAAGTATTATTATTACTGAAATAATAAAGGCGTATCTTCATTAAAGGGGCATACCGAGTTATAAAGATAAATATTTTCCAAAGTTGCAGAGCAAAGCTTAACCACACTCTTGAGGATTGTTTCTGTGTGATAATGTGTTGTGATATCGTAAACTTTTACTAATAAATATCTCTTCTGGCATCACACAGAGCAAAGCAAAGCAAAAATAATCTTGGAAACGATCTTCTACAAGTGAGATGAGACAGAGTATTTTTCTTTGCTTCAGTTTTTTAAGGTCCCTGTTTAATACATATACCTGTTTATACCATTTATAGAATCAAGTTTCTGCATCAGATAATAGGAGTACTTCCAATAGCTGTTGAATCAGGCGCCAGTTCTCACATCGGTCGAGCTATAAAGGATTTTACTTTTACTTTTTTAAAGAAGTTTAGCAGCAGCCAAATTACCTCTTCAAGTTATTCTTCATTACAATTATTTATTTTTAAGTGGTCCAGCCTTTACAAATTGATTTGTAGGCCGAGATAATTTCCCGCTAAGTCTAAATTACTATAAAAAAATAATTCATTAATTGATAAATAATAATAAATAATAATTAAAAATATTGGTTAGTCATTGTTTAACATTAAAGTCTAAGCAGTGTTTCTAATAGTCCGAAACTTTTTTTCAGACAACGATAGTGGTACCATCCTAGGCCTCGAAGTAACTTGGTTTGTGGTGGTCCTAATTAGTTCCCTTCTAGTACTACTCGTGCTTATCGTAGCTATTTCGATTTGTGTATGTAGACGAGGAAGCTGGAACAACAGCCATGGAAATTCTGTACAGCAACAAAATGCATCTTATTCTTGTAAGTATCGAGAGCTATTTTTTACATTGAATTTACAATTTAAATGGAATTTCTATATACAGGTTGATTTTTACGTAAAATTTTTCCGGTAAACTTTACGAGTATATAAAGCTCATAAAGATAAACGTTATTTTTATTAACCAACTTTCCGAAATTTGAAAATTATGCCAGTTGTAAAAATTATAGATTATGAAAGACAACTTCATTGCACAACAAAAAATAGTGCATGTTTATGAAAGTAACAAAAATTTTCGTCAAAAGTAAAGAAAGTTTCGTCAATACTCTTGTTTCCGCAAGTCCATCTTTCCGGCCCATTTGTACTCAATCGTGAGTCTAGATCGAAAGAATCTGGTGACTTACGCAAACATCCCGGAGGAAATGCAATTAGACCAACCGAGAATATTCAAAAAGACGGAGGAAATGTTGAAAAAACGTCTTATCTTAGAATATCTAACAAGAAGTACCGGTAATTTGGGGTGAAGTAGGGCTGTGGGGGCGAACTCGGACAGATCATTCATTGTTGACTCGTTATTGCCGTTTTTGGTCTCAAATAATTACGTTTTTGTCCCAAGCTACAAAAAAGCTGTCAAGCTGAAAAGCTCGAGAGTAATTTACCGGAACCAAACCAGGATTATTCTTCTTCGTACTCAGTACATGGCTGTCCACGTGTGGACGTAGGCCTCTCCAGAATTTATCATGACTCTCGATCTTGAGCTATCTGCTGCCAATTCCTTCCGGCTATCTTTCTTATATCGTCTATCACCCAACATTTCTGTAATCTGCCTAATACTCGTTTTGTTATTCTTGGTTCTTATTCTCCATCGGGAGCAATCTTGCCTTGCGACATGGTTTACCTAAGGCTATTTAAGATTGAAGATGTGTTTGGCGGTGATATGTTTGTCACCAGCAAGACCTACATATCAAAAACGTTTCGCTTCAGGCCATTAGGAACCTCCCTAGATTTCAGTCCATGGCCCAGTTTAACTTCTTCTGATTCTTCTGGAAGTTTCAGTTCTTTGATTCTCCTTGCCCGGTTTCATAATATGACCGAGGTTCACACACTCTTACTTTCACTTGTTCAAGTGCGATCATACAAGGTGATTCAAAATTTGCGTCATTCCTCTGGAGGTGTTGTCTGGGCATGTTTTGTGAATACATGCAAAACAGTTTAAATACATCATTCTCTGTCGTCTCAATTACAATATAGCAGAGTTAATAGATATTTCATAGAACGAATTTACTAATTTTAATTGAAGATGATTCTGCTATGTTAATTTTTGGTTCCAGTAGCGCACATGTACGGGTCGAATGGCCACATGGCAATAAAGCCAGGAGTCGGCAGCACCACAACGCTGACCGATGGAGGCTTACTCCATGCGACGCCGACTTCGGGAAACTCGCGCCGCCCTGCGGGCCCGCCCGGGTTCCGCATGCCGCCGGCCCGGGGCCGCCCCTACTGCCCGGCAGGGTAACCGCGACGCCCGTGGTCGCCCCTCAGAATGGTGGGAGCGACGCGCCGTCTGCGCAGCAGAAAGACGAGTGGTTCGTCTAGCAGTAGGTATGTAACGCGTTCATTATTGATGCATATGATACTGGCAATGTCGCTAATTAGCCCTGGTCTGCAACAAAATCCTTTTTCAAAAAATCATGTCATAAATATAAAAATTTTATGGCGCTCAATCTGTTCCCGAATGCCAAATTAATGTTATGAAGGCTTTCACGACCGGTTAAATCACATTTAGGAATGTTTTCCGGGCTTTGAAGCCGTGGTCTATCGGAATTTCTTCCTGACGTTTCGTCCACAACTGCGGTGGCCATTATCAAACTAAATTTATGATATTTTGGAACAACATTAATTTGCATTTAGGAATGTTTTCCGGGTTTTGAAGCCGTGGTCTATGGGAATTTCTTCCCGACGTTTCGTCCACAACTGCGGTGGACATTATCAAAGGCGATGAGGCAGCGGGCTCCCGTGCTTTCCGACTAAGACTGGTCTGGTTCAACTGCTGGATCAACCCCGTCGTATTTATGCAGCCCAGCCGTGTGTGCTCATGCGTGGAGGATGGGTGGGGGTTCAAACGCTTAGGCGCACATGCGGTTTGGCGCCAAACGCGCTTCCAATCTGGATTGAGTGCCGTAATTTCTTCTTTTCTGTTAAAGTTGTTTTGGTGTTTAAATATTTCGATGGCCTTTCTGGTGAGTCTCGGGTAGTATCTTGCAGATTGGTGCAGAATGTCCACTTCGTCGAAGCGTATTTGGTGGCCGTCTAGCGGTGCGTGCTCCGATACTGCTGATTTTTCTGTTTGTCCCAATCTGCGTAAGAGTTGGGCTTACCTCCCGTACATACATGGAGTCGCGGAGAGGATCGGCGGATGGGCGATTGCCTTTTTTGGATGTCTTGGTGACCAGAAAAACCACGGAAAGCTGGCCCACACGGGGTACAGAAAACCGACACATACCGACCGGTATCTGCACAGTGGTTGAAACCATCATCCCAGTCAGAAAAGAGGAGTCATCAAAACTCTCACCGAAAGAGCCAGAAGAATCTGCGAATCAGCCGAGTTAGAGAGAGAATTAAAACACCTGGAAAGGGCCTTTGGTTGGAATGGATACAGTAAGAAAGATTTCAATATAGCAATTCGACCAAAACGCTGAACAGTGAAGATCGCTCGGAGACAACAGAGACGCATGGCGAGCGTAAGAGTTGGGCTTGCCTTCCGTACATACATGGAGTCACGGACAAGATCGGCAAGATACTGGAGAAACACCAAGTCAAAACCATTTTTAAACCAACTCGAACCATCCAACAGACTTTGAGATCGGCCAAGGACAAACGGGATCCTTTATCAGCACCAAGAGTCTACAGAGTTCCGTGCAGCTGTGGAAGAGCATACATCGGCACCACAAAACGAAGCATAAACACTAGGATCACGGAGCACAAACGAAGTTGCA